CACCTAAACTAAACACCAAACACACACCACCAACCGACACCAACCAAACACCAACACCACCGATCAACACCCCGCAGCCAACGCTGGAAACCCAGCCAAAAAGGGCTCGCCGGCAAACCCCAAAACCAGCAGCAGCCTCGCCTACTCCAGCCACCAGAGACGACCGAGCGGAAAACGAGGACCCAGCCCGAAAACGGAAAAACACACCACCTCCACACACGGGGAGGACTACCGCCCCGGAACCAGCCATACCTCGCCGCCCCGCTCCTCGACCAAAGCACCCGCGACCACTACCGCCTTGGGTCACCAGACCACCGCCACCAACCCAAAGAAAAACGACGCCTACAAAACCATCGAAACCGCAGGCAACGAAAAGAAAAGGAAAACAAAGAAGAAGACAGAAGGGAAAAGGGGGAAGAGGAAGGAGCCTAGGCTCCCACCCCTCCGGCGAGCACACTGAGAAGACGGGTCAGGCGAGCGAGAGAGGGTTTTTCTTTTTCCAAGAGTAGGAAACTGCTGTTTTCCAAGTACTTGGTGGCTAAGGATTGTCAAACATTTTTAAAAGAAGTTTCATTTAGTGAGCGTGTCAAATATTCATGTGCAACTCATAACACGAATAGAGGAGAGAAAAAATAACTAAATGGGGGTGAAAACACTAATTGGATTTTATAAAATCACTTGTGAATGAAGAGTTTGTTATTAAATTGTCTATCATGTACAATTTTCGAGTATATGCTTCTACGAGAATTACTTCATCATGTCGGAAAATCTCTAAGATATGCTTCTATGTTTATCAAAACACTAGCTTGCATGAGAGATTCACAAATTATGTGAACCAAAATTAACAAAACAAATGAGTCTTGTAGCTTATAAAACAAATAAGTTGGAATATGCCACGTAAATGTCACATTTGGTCCCTAACATTTGAAGGTTGTGATGTTGGATCCACAACCTATCATTTGTAGCACGTTGAGTCCCTAACTTATGTAAACATCTTTCTTACGAAAAATGTTGGATCAACAGTTGAATAAATCAAATTTTATTAAAATAAGCATTCTACCCCTCATTTTGAATTAAAAAAAAGAGAAGGCAAAAAGGAAAAGGCAATCCCCGAAAAAATATCAACATTGGGGTGATGGAGGTTAAGGGGTTTCTAGGGGTTGAACCCCAACTTTGAGGGTCTCCTGTCGACCCGTCCCTAGAGCATTGTGGAGAAGGTAAATCGCAGGATATGCCTCAACAGATCAGAATTGACTTTTGAGAAATTATATTCACGTCATGAATTTTATTTCTTGTATCACATTTTAATTGTATTTAAGGTTCTGAGTCTTTGCTTATTATAACACTTATATCCCTAACGATTTTTCATGTCATTCTTATCATCAAATTTTTCGTTAGATAACCCATTTTGTATTTCAGGTTCAAAAATACGTTGAAATGACATTAAACAACTTATTTTTTCTTCATATTTTTGAATGATAAATAAATAAAAAGTTGCAAAATATATTTTTTCCTCATTTTAAAACATGAAAACAATATAATTTGATATAAATCATTATCAAGGACGAAATATATTAATTAATGGAAGACCGAATGTAAAAATTCAACGAAAAACAATCAAGGAAATAATTCTTACAATGAGTAAAGATCGAGAAGCTTGACTACAATTAAATTATGGTGTATCAAATTAAAATTTTGGTGGCAATATAACCACCAGTGACTTTTTCGCAAGAGAAGGATAATGGTCGCACAGTTTAAATATGTTGGGGACTCAAGGCGCTATAAATGAAAGATTAGGGACGTCCACATCATAATTAAAGGTCAGGGACCTCAGGTGAAATTTAGCACAGTGACTTGGGCAGTAGAGATTACAAAAAATTGGATACAGCAGCTTTTTCACGCTTACAGTGTCAAGTTTCAACTACAACTCGCCGCACCGGTGTTTGGGCAAAAATCCATATCAGAACTTTTCAATCTGTTTATCGTAAATATGAAAGCCTCAGTCAAACTTAGGGAAGATCAGAAACCTTTATTGAGAGCAAAAATCCCATTAAACATTTCGAGCTTCCGGCTCCAATCCGGAATAGTTGTCGGTGAATCCAAAGAATTTTCTCTAAACCTCGGCACTTTATTTGATTCCGGGCCTTCTTTCAAATTCTGTTACCGTCCTAATGATTCACAAAATCCCTGTAGCTTTAATGTCAAGACTGGGATTGGACAATTCGGGTCACCGATCGGAAGCCCTTTAACCATGAGCGCGGAGTTTAATTTAACTAGCAGTAAAAAACCCGGTTTTTTCATCCATTTTAAACCTGATTTTGGTGATTTTTCGGTGAAAAAATCGCACTATTCGGAATCTGTCGAGGGTTTGGGCGAAAAATTAACCGGCCACTTCACGGAGGGGAAGCATCTTTTGGATCCAAGGGCAGTGGCGAGACGGGTGGAGGGATTGTTGAAGGGAACGGAGGTTAGTGCAAGGACGGCGTTGCCGGTGTGGGATTTGGCCGTGGTAAATCTACGGTTGGCACTAAGGGTTCCGCCGGCGGTGGCGGGCGGGATTAGATTGCCACTGTTGGTAATGAATAAAATAGGAATCCAACGCGTGGCAGAAACTGCTTCGCCCAACACAGACGGTGCTGACGTGTTAAAGACATGTTTGGATGTGAAGAGACAGGTTGAAGTTTTTCAAACTGAGAATGAGATGTTGAGACAGGCTTTGAATGATTTGAGAACAGAAATAAGTGCTGGAAAAGTAAACCTTTTATCACATGAAGTAGAAAAAAATAAGGAAAATGGGGCCTAAACCCTTTTTCCGATCTATTTTAGGTTTTATTTCTTTATATTTATGTTTTAGGTAAAGGTTTGCGTTTTGGGAATTTCTTTTTGAAGTTTGGCTTCGGTTATAGAGATTGTAAATTCTGTGTTTGATTAATCTTTTTTTGGGTAGTGATCAATGATATGGGTGAACTATTTGTTAATTAATAGTTACTATTAACCAATGAGAGTTAATTAGTTGACGAGAATCGAGTTAACCCATCATCAGCCACGCTCAAATCCGAAGGTTTACTTCACCTCGTACAAGTCATTGGGCCCATGTTTTGTTATCATGTTTTAAATAACCAATTTTCCACAAACTCATTGTCAACTATACATTTTGTTGGGTTTTGTAACCCAACTTCATCTACGATTTGCATGATTTGATATATTGGACCTTGAAAACGTCTAAATAGGGTCCATGAAGGAAAAAGGGAATTGACGGCGCTAGCCTACCGTTGGCTGGAGGCTCAAGCAGCATGATGAAATTTTCAGTAGCGAGTTGTTGCCTGCCTACCATCTGTCGGCGATCGAGCCATGCCATTCCGAAATTTCCTTGTTTCGATTATTCCACGAGTTTTTTGACCTAGTTTTCATCTTTAGGGTTTGGCATGCACTCCTATAAATAGTAGACTATTCTTTATAAGTTAAAGTATTACTACAAGTTAGAATTGTGTAGGAACACAATATTGTTGTAATTTCTCTCTCCATTACTAGTGAATAAAATTTCAAATTTCTCTGTCAAATTAAATTCTTGTATTTTGTGTTTTTCTTGTTGTGATCAATACTTCATATCGTGTCATATACCTCGTCCCACCCCAACAAGTGATATTAGAGTTTTGGTTTGATTTGTTCAAGCTTTCTTTGTTCTTGATGGCAATCATGAAGTATAACATTATGCTTTTGGATCGCATCACTAGATTCTTGTTGTGGCGGTTGAAAATGTGAGCAATACTCGCTCTGATGAATTTGCATAATGTGTGGTTAAGATTTGGCAAGATGTCCACAACTTAGACGATGAAGAAGAAACAATGTAAGGATCAGAAAACACTTTCACAAATTCATCTTTATTTTTCGAACAATATTTTTCGGGACATTTTCAAAGAGAAGTTTGCAGCTGCGTTCTAATTAACAAATTGCACGTGAAACAACACTGTATTCTCATTGCATGACAGAAAGCGGATCTTTGGAAGATCACCTTGATGTTTTTTAAAAAAAAAATCCTCGTTGATTTTGAAACTTTAGAGGTAAAATACAATGGTGAAAATTTGGCCTTAATTCTTTTGTATTCATTGTCAACTTCGTTTATTTTGTTGCATGGGTAATGTCGTTTAGAGGACATGGGTAATGTCGTTTTGCCTCCACATCCAAGGTGCCACCATATTCAATTGCATTGTCAACTAGTGAAGAAAGGTACAGGAAAGTTGATTTTGTTGCATATTCTTTAAGTGAATTTTAAAGTGTTCAGTCTAGCAATGGGCCTTCTACAAAATCATTTAGTGTTGAATATGTTTCAGCGCGTGTTTCGGCTCTATTTGGTAAATTTTAAATTATTTGTAATTTTTGGAAACCCAAGGTAATTCTAGGTTGCAATGCTTGGATTCATTTATCCTAGTTGGATATTGTGGAAGAGGTGGATAATTTTTTTATTCGTTGGAGAAGTTAGTTTGGTTTTTGTTGAAGAGTTCGGTTCAATCTTTGTAGTCGAGTTTTTTCTTCAGGTCGAGAAATTTTTGGAGTTTCGTTCTTTTGCAGTGGAATTTGGTTAATGTGGAGATTGTTGGTTTTGTGATCCAAATTCATCTAGGATTTGCTTGGTTTGGTGTATTGGGTCTTGAAGAACTTTAAATAAAGTCCATGGAGGAAAAAAGGATTGACAGTGCGGTTTACTGCTAGCTGGACGCTGTAGCGGCAAGATGAAATTTTCATAAGCGAGTTGCTGCCGGCCTATCGCTCGAGCGTCATGCCATTATTAGTGAATAAAATCTCAAATTACTCTATCAAATTAAATTCTTGTCTCTTGTATTCTTGTTATTATGATCAATGCTTCATATCATGTCACATATATCATCCGGTCTCAACAAGTGGTATCAGAACATACATAATATTTGTTCGATTTCTTAACAAATTAAACTATGTTCTATGACATGGTAGAACCAATTAACTAGATCACACAATACCACATGTAATTGGATTTATTCATTGGCAGCAATGCCTACTACATAAAAGGGAAAAAAATTGTTAAAACTCTATAAAAGTGATTGTTAGTAGCTATAGATCCTGCAATGATGAATTGAACAAATTTATAAACAGAGATTTATTTTGTGTAACTTGAATTTATTATGCACATGTTTGATTTATTTAAAAATTATATTTTCAGTAAATTTTGATAAGAATTGATTAAATATGTAGGTAAGAATAGATAAAATTTATGGATCATATATAATGTGTGATTGAAAATGAACATGAGGAAAATGAGTGTTAAAAAATTAGGACCAAACAAGGATTAAGAAATTTACATGAGATTCCCAGACATTTCATTTCATTATTCTACCTTTTTATAAACTTTTGTGGGAGTGATTATTTGAAAAGTTTTTTTCCAGTATGGAACTATTTTTTAACAAATATGGAACTATTATGTTTTTATTGTAAATTAATTAGACATGCTAAGGGTAATATTGACAAAAGGGAAAAATATATGAGATAAAATAGAAAAGGGTAATTATATTCATACCACAACTTTTATTTTAATTGCGTTTAAGGTTTTTAATCTCTCACTATATCACTTAAGGTTCTCAATCTTTGTTCGGTGAAAAAAAGTTTAAGAAAATAATAATTACAATGAATAAAGATTGAGGAGTTTAAGCCCCTATTTGACACTCATTTTTTTCTCTTTCTTCATTTCAACCATACATTCTATTAATAAAATAATATTACTTATAAACCCAAAAATTCTCCTTACTGTACTTTTTAACCACGCAATCTTCCATCAATCACTATTCCAAAAATTATTTTTCAAACAAAGTGGGTGTCAAACAGAGTGTAAATGCAATTAAACTGTGGTGACAATATAACCATCTAGTAGAAAATAGGCTCAATTTTAATGTGATTTTGAGAGAATGTATTTTAGAATGGTGATTTTTTGGTGAATATGTGGTTAAAAGATAAAGAAAAGTTTTAGATTTACGTGTAATGTTATTTTATGGAAGAATATGTAATTGAAAATAAGTTTTGAAAAATGTATTTTAAAAATAATTGAGCCCAAACAGGGGTTAAATGTTTATCACCTATCTATACATTTTGCCCTTTATTAAAATTCAAATTTTAATCAAAATCAAAGTCAACAATTAATTTTAACAATATATTTTATGGGCTCCACAACTTTTCAACCATATATTTCATTAACTTTTATCAAAATTTACTAAAATTTTGATTTTAATCTCCATCAAAATATTCTGTGAACAAAAATCTTTAGAAGTTCAACATAAACGGCTCCCTCCTTTCTCCACCACTCGTCCTACCCAGTCCCTTTATCTTCTGGCCATCTCAGGCGGTCATGATTTTTTTTTAAAATTGAAAATAAAAGTGTACGTCTCAATTTTTGAATTGATGGTTCCATCCGTAATAAACATAAGTGTGTAAAATTGAAACATTGAAGACTCAAATGCTATGAAAAATTGATCAATGACTCAAACACAATGTCGGAAAAGAGCTGAGAATTGCAATTTACACGTGCATGTAATTTACACGAGAATAATGATAATACTATTTATCATCAATTGTATTAAAGGATCATGCTACACGTATATAATTATTTACATAATACATTACATAATTAACATGTGGCGCGTATTTATCGATAGTCTACAATTTTTGACTTTTCTACACTTCCCATTCATGGCCAGATTTCTTCCACATGGGCCTATGTAATCCATTATGTACATATAGATTTATTCTTGTGTTAAAATATCAGTCTATGTGGCACTAATATTGCATTAAATGAGATGTTTAATTAAACGAATAACTTAATTTCACTTTTTATTGAACATATCACTTAGAGGCAACTAAATTGGTATTGTAGCACCGGTCGTGTGAATAATGATATATATCTCTATTAGATATGATCATTGGTTCATGAGACGGGTGACGTGTTGTGAAATGATAATGTATGAATATGAAATTCACTTTATCGATTTTATCATTAACATCACACGCTGTGTAATACAAATAGCATAATCTTTACATAAATGAAAGTTGCACCATTTTGCAATCACGATACGATAAAACGCAGAACCACAACAACCAATTTCACAGTGAAAACACATTAAATACGATATAATGTATAGATATTGGTTGAATTGTTGCAACAATAAATATCTCACAGCCAAACTTAATGGAATAGTTCAATTGGGTAGATGGTGGGAAATTCAAGTTCTCTAAGTGGCATTCCTTTTGTTTTGAGTTTCTACATTTTCTTGAAAAGGGTGCTCGACCTATAGGAATTGTTCATGATATTTTAAAGAAGGCAAAAGTTATTGAGTCACAACCCGACTCTTACAGTTAGGTTAAAAGGGTCTTTTTCTTAAGATCAAGACACAATAGAAGTTCTTCTTTGATAAAAAGTGTAGATCGAGCTCCAATAATAAGGTAAACGATACTTAAGTGCTTGTTTGACTGTACTTTTAACTTATGAGTGTTTATAAGTTATAAGTCTTACAGAACTTATAGATAACAAGGAGATAGTGAGTTGTGAGTCATACATAATGTGTAAATAAAATATATATTTAACCAGATTAAATGACAATTTAAAATTTGCCAAAGATGTCAACAAAGTTTCATCGAAGGTCATTCAAGTAATAATTATATTTTATTTTAGTCATTTAACTTTAGTTTATTTTAATATGATATTTGACTTATATTTTTATTTCAAATTAACCATTATGTCCAATGTTATGGATCTTGTGACTTGGCTCACAAGCACGAGTCCAT